ACAGACAGACAGAAAGACAGACAGACAGACAGACAGAGACAGAGAAAGAGAGACAGAGAATAAGAGAGAGAGAGAGAGAGAAAAGGCTCTCAGCTCAATCTTCATGTAATTAACCACAAAAAGACCCTCTACAAACACAGACCACACCGCAGAATCATTTCCCTTGAATGCAGAGGACAGCATTAGAACACAATTAAACCACTAGCCCCGCTAAACTGCCAACTTCATGCTCATCCCAAGGTTGGTTGTATAATGAAGTTTGACTGAACTCTGATTCACAGCTGTTTCAAGTTCGGGTGCGTTCTCATGGAGATTAGAGGGTCTTTGACGGTAAGTGAACTCAAAGTAGACGTCTGTTACATGCACTCCAATTTTCAAAGGTAATAAGGCGACACAACAGGACTCCTACATTACGCCAGTCAAATTTCACTAGCAGATAAATGCCAGCTTCTGTAGCACAGTGAGTGTGGTGACTTGTGGGAGTAAACCACGTCATAAAATAGCTGTAGTTTTAGAACAGATCTGCCGTGAGCAGACAAAACGCAAAAAATTTGAATTTGCTAAATCGAAAGCCTGATCAGTTACATGTAGGCCTACCCTACTTGTGTAAAAAAAATCAAAGTGTAACTGCGACTAGTTCTTTAATAAATTAGAATTCAAATTTTAATGTCAGAGGCACTCTATTTTTCAATAGTTACCCTGACAAAAAAAATTCTTTTTCTTAAAACTGCAGTGAATAGAAAAAGGCGTTTTGTCAGCTTACAGCAGAGATCTCCCCTTGTACCATGTGACCTATCTGTGTATAGAGAATTGACCCTTGTCACAAGCCCACTCTCACTCTCGTTCACGTAGTGTCAGTCATTAAACATCCATCAAAGTCAAAGTGTATACTGGAATTCTTTATCTCTGTGCAGTCTTAATTTAGAAACAGTCACAACATTACAGTGAGTTACAAACTTGACCACATCAAGCAGAAAATCAAGGTTCAGTAATGAAACAGAGGCACTTCAAATAAAAAAGTTATCCCTGGAATATTTTACCTTAGTCTTGATGGAAAACAATTCAGTGTTCTAGTACTAATGCCAAAAGTCCTTATTTTGCCTGCTATTTAAATCTCAACTTCAGCAAAAAGGAATGAATATTACATATGTGAGACAGCCCTACATGGTAAAATCAGGTGCTCATCAAATTAATAAAATCAAAGAAACTGGAATCTTCCCGCTCGTTTAGCAATTTTTTTTATTTTTTGTTTTTAGGTTCGCTCACCACTTTTATGTCCATTGAAAAGCACATGTGTGGACTTTACTGAAAAACATTGATTAAAGGTTAAAAAATATAGTTTTGCAGTTTCCAAGGACTCAAGCTTTGGAAGTCACCTGACTTTGGCGGCCATTTTATCGCTAATTTTACCTCTAAAACCTGGTGACCCCCACCTCCTTCGATCGCAAATATCTCTAATTTCATTCAAGTTATATGAGTAATTTTTATCACCATCATAACAAATGAACAAGCTTTGAGATAATACCAATAACTCCACATGTCCAAAAATTGACGAGTGCCTGATTCCACCGCATCGCGACTGACACACATCATTTAACACTGAAAATGGAGCATACCTTGAACAGTTTCCACAGCAAAGCCCCATTGACTTCAGAGATGTCCTGATGAGTGGCAAGATCATAACCTTTAGTCTCGAACCGGCCGAAGCTGATCACAGCTGAGCGATGTGTTGCTGAGGCCTCACCCAGCACAAAGTTGTAACCTTCAGGGTAGATATCAGTCCACAAAATTCCCACGACACTGAGCCCATCAGGAGGAAGAAGTTGCTGCATCAGAGGGTGAAGGTCGTTCACACAGTACTGTTTTTGAGACGTCACTTCATGTTCACGAGAGCGTACTTGCCCATCCATGGAGGAAAGGGAGACAGGAGAGAGGACAAGAGATTCGAACCCAGAGAAATAAATCTGAACAAAGCTTTGCAATAGCTGGAAAAAGTCCAAGGTGAGTTTTCCAACTTGTACACGATAACTTGAGAAAAAGTCTGGAAAATCCTCCAAAGGTTGAATGTATATGGTTGTTCTGCGCTTCCGATAGCAAAATGGATACAAATTGTTTAAGGAGTAAGCTACCTTCCAACGAGTGAAGGTCTGCATGTGATACAGTGGTGTCGACATCACAAAGGGAGTAAAGAGTCCTAAGTCTGATTCATTAGGCCTTGTACTATCTGATGAGTATCTCTCATGACGACTCAAAGAATTCTCCTCTACTTGCGTTGATATTTGTGAAGTTTCATCTCCACTTGCTCCTTCTGCTTCAAGTCCAAGCCTATAAGTGTGTGTGATCCCTGCAAAAAACAGTACCAAAACAGATATGACCAACACTAGCCTTCTATTAAGTAAAGCACATGTAGAGCACGAACTGAAGACGGAAAAACACTGAGGGCCAAGACATAAATACAAATGTTGGTTAAAGGTTATTTTGGTCCAAAAAGAGCAAACAGATGAGTGAACGTTGTGTTGCACATCACAAATGATGAACAGAATCTTTCTGACATCCTTTGGCTCTTTCCTGATTTAAAAATAAATTTTGTTGTTTAATTTATATGTTACTTCTGAGACCCGTCTCATAAATTTATTAGATAGTATAGTCACCTGTTCACACCTTGTTGGACACACACATACACACACACATACACACACACTCACACACACACACACTTTCTCTCTCTCTCTCTCTCTCTCTCTCTCTCTCTCTCTCTCTCTCTCTCTCTCACACACACACACACACACACACAAGCAAATTTGTCAATTCACTTTAATGCAGTGGACTGTCTCATAATTTTGAAGCCATTACGCATGTGATCTGTACGGATGCAAGTCCAATTTTTTACAAAATATAAATTCAGCAAAGTTCAGTACTCTCAAGGATATTTTCTTTCCCCAAAAGTGCTGGTTTTCCCACCCTGTTTCGGTTGATACTTCAAGATGATGAAGATTATCACAGTACTGTAACGCAATACACTATCAAATCTAAACAATCAAACTTCTCAAATTCAAAAGTAAGCAAAAAACCTGCATTTCCCTGCATACATAAGCAATGAAAGAGCAGTCATTCCCTTCACAAGAACCTTTTTTTCTATAGTAGCTAACTATGTCACAAGTTATACAGTATAGCAAAGATTTTAGATCGAATAATAGAAGCCTGGGAGAAGCAACATTTTCACTTAACACACAATTTATTTCTGGTTGCTTATTTAGACTGATGATACATTTTAAAATACTATGTCAACACAGAATGTTTATCCACCAATCTTGTCATGGCAAACACCAAACCTGGAACAGTCTGTTCTTCTACGGGCCTCACAGTCTGATCCCCATCACCCCTGACATCTTGGCACAATCCTGCCCGGAGGTAAAGTTTCCCCAGGGAAAACAGTTTCTGCGTGGATGCTGGCAGGTGTTCCAATTTACCTGCAAAGTAAAACTTTCTTTTGAGCATTTTATTAATTCAAGATTGTTCATATCAAAGTTCAATAACAGAAAGCATCATATGAGCCATTTTCAAAATGTCAACTTAAAAACAATGAAGTAAACCAAATTTTAAAACTAAATTTGTATTCTTTTCTGATGCTTATACAATATAAACAAACTTGACCCCCTGGGGCAGTGCCACTGACTGTAGTGTCTTTAGGCCATTCCCAAAGGGGGGACATTTCTCCTTCAAGCATAGTGGAATTGTAAATGGGCTGACTCCCATCACGCTCATAACTGTCCCTGATCTACAATAGGGAACTGCTGCTTTTTCTTTCCTGATCCTTACTGTCATTTTCCTCTACTTCTTTAGTAAGTTCGTCACTCTCTTGTGACCTGCTATATCCGGGGTGCCTTGATAGTTGAAGCAGACCTTGTGCTGTTGAAGCTAGAGAGGTGAGCAGTCAAAGTCTGATTCCCTGTAAAGACTTCTCTTTTGACACCCACCCCTTAACGCTCATATGACCTTACGCAGTTGCGAGCACCGTTAAACCTTCTACTATTTTTTTTAAAAACCACTCTGTGGCTTTTATTCCAAGTTTTGAGTTGATAACTAGACAAAGCACTTGTTAAGAAAACTATCAAAACTTCACTACAAAAAGTGACCCACTTCTCATTGTATAACATACAGAATAATATACTTGATTATGCCTGGCTGCCTTTAACGAAAAATGTAGAGCTGGCAAGCATTATTCATGTCCAAACACACAAACATAATTAAGTTGAAAACACTGTATGGATTTGTATGACCAATATAGGGAGATTCGAAACTAAACACTCAATCAAAAAGTGGCGTGCGATAACATAAAAGGCATACCAGCATCTATATTCTGACTAGGACTGGGCAAGTGATGGTGCCAAGTGAAAGAACCCCCAGTACTCTTGTAGTCTGTCTCATTACCAGCACCAGGCCTTGGGTACCTGTACTAAGAAGGTGCCAGTACCAAGCATGTAGTACAATGGGTTATGTGCCCTTGGAACTAAAGCCCCAGTTGCATGTTGCTATACATCATATCAGATTTGTTGTATATATATATATATGAGACCTCTCAGTTTTATCAAACTGCATGTTCTGTTGTGGGTTTTTTCAGTAGTCATACATACTTTCATTATTCCATATCTTTCTATAATACCTTGCAATATCACCAAACCCTTTTCAGGTGACAAGCACAGCTTTGAAAACTTCAACTAAACACAATAAGAGCCGGCAAAAGACAAACAGTACATGCACACACACACAAACACAGACTCTCTCTCCCTCTCTTTCATGCACACACACACAACTCTCTCTCTCTCTCTCTCTCTCTCTCTCTCTCTCTCTCTCTCTCTCTCTCTCTCTCTCTCTCTCTCTCTCTCTCTCTCTCTCTCTCTCTCTCTCTCTCACACACACACACACAAACACACACAAACACACACACACACACACACATATACACACACACACACACACACACAAGCACAAACTACAGAATGCAGGACAAATTGGAGCTTTTAGCTTCTATACAAACCTATGAGGTATTCAAAATCTTTTCTGGTGGTCTCATGGGTACGCTTAGGCATCTGAAAGACATAGTGTCCCCTTGTATTCGATTGTCCATTAGCACCCACTGTAGATTCATTTCTAGGACGAAAGTCTTGTTCTTCACCAGTAACTGTGCTGTGAAGTGCTCCCATATATCAAGTCTGAAATAAAACCATTTTAAAACAGAATGTTACTGAGATCAAGTACTTTTGTTTAAACACTTCAACAGTAAAATGTGTTTTCTTGGCCTAGGTAAAAAGAAAGCTAGAACAGTGGGAAGGTGGTCTCAAATAATAAGGGGGCCTTGTAAACTTTTCATTAAAGAAAAAAAAATTCAATGTAGGTATTTCAAAATGCCATTAACACAATTTCAATTTAGATTATTCAGGAGGCAGGCTTCTGACCCCCAACTGTCAGGGCCTACCCGGGTTGAGAGGGATACAACATGCCAGCAGAAAGACCGAGATACTTGATAAAATCCCCCCTCCGCCCCCAACTCAAGTATCAAACTCAAACCTCCAGCACGCAACAGCCAAGCAACGAAACACTACACCACAGACACCGCTTAACTTTTCGTCACAATTAAGTTAATTAGCCGTAAAGAGAAACAAAGAACTTGTAAGTGTATAAAATCACTATTATACAACAGATAAACATTTTAATAAGTTTTGCATTCAAAATAGATAGTTTGGCCTAGATTCTAAAAAGTGATATAGCTTCACAGTCTGAAGAAATAAAGTCAGCTTGAAAGGCATATCTAATTAATTTTGTATACGCTTCAAACTTTCAATCATACTGACTTCATCAAGGCCAAGGTGGTTTTTCAATTTTGATAAGGGTCCATTATTTAGCTGTAATAAAATGAAAAACAGTAAAATCTCAATTTAAATCTAGACTCAGAGGGAACAAAACCTGGGCACAGACTCTAATTTCTTGAAATTCCAGGGAAGGTTGAGAACAATGCTTGAGAACAATGCTTGAGAACAATGCTTGAGAACAATGCTTGAGAACAATGCTTGAGAACAATGCTTAGAGGATGTGGTGTAATAATACCATATGATGGCACAAAGTTTGTGACAAAATTTCAAAAAGCTGACCTCTGATTTTACCTTTCAAAACTTCTGACGGTAGGGCTTTGCTTGGTCTACAGGTAGAGTGTTTGCCTTTCAGTCAAAAGTTCCCAAGATCAAAACCTGTCAGCATTGAAAGATTCTGGTGCCAGTTTAGCTGAAGGTCAACCGTGCTATGATGGTCAACTACAAGTCCCGCCCAATCAACTATAGTCTACTGCAGACAAAGCAGGAGCCTGATTGGCCAAGGTAACAACGGCATTTGGGGCACTCAGACCGAAGGGGGATGACGATGACGTTGAAAAAATGTGCTGTGATCAAAGAATTTTGCAGCTCTGTAAAGACTATGATTGACTAGTAAGTTGTGACAAAAAGTAACCAGTCTCCCCCAACAAAATACAAACCACCCAAACATTTTTAAAGTGTCCAATATGATAACATAGTTGTCCAAACCTGTATACCTGAAACATAGCAGTTGACTCTCAACTACAGTACCAAAATTTTTCCATTTTGCACTACATTTAGCTAATACTTTAACAGAACTATGACACTATGATCTTGCCAATAACACCTCTCATCAATAATAATACCTGAAAACTTTATTGATCTGACTCGAGAGATTCAGTATTGTCAATACATATTTTACAGTTTTTGCTATTTTTAATTCCAACGCCTCAAAAAAAAAAAAAATCATGATTCGCGATTGCCTCGACAGTGCGTTTCATGTTTGCAAGTGTGTGACGAAATGACGGTCTCCATTCAACCTTGTGGGTCTGGGGTGTGACGAGAGAATGACTGTGACCTCTTGACTGCACCGGTGTGACAAAATGATAACCAGTCATTTCGTCATAATCCAATTATGTGTGACAAAATGAATTCCCTTATCTCTCGAAAATTGTTAAACTAGCCCCAGAAGCACCTTTTTCCGGAAGTAACCCGCCCCAAATGCATTTTCCATACAAGGAATACTGAAATTTTATATTGAAAAGGGTCAGGGCCTATGCCCTTTATAATAATATAAGGCCTGCGCGCTTCCCGATCAAAGTAGGTCGGCCTTACCCGGGTAGCCCAGCTCACGCTCTATAAATATATATAGAGGACCTGTGCACTTCCAGGGCTTGAATTTAATAAAAAACTCACCAAGTTAGCACTAAGGCAACAACTGTGAGAAAAATCTTTCATTAACTAATCAGG